ATGAGTTTCAGTCTGGCTTCAGATTTGGACATATTTGCATCATCACTACACTCAAAGTCTTTCATTACATCATTTGTCCAATTGAAAATGAACATCTGAACTGTCCATCTGCATTTGTTGATTTAGCAAAGGCTTTTGACTATATGAACCATGAGATACTGCTAGACAAACTAAGGGACACAGGACTTTCAGAGAGCTGCATGATCTTGGTCAATAGTTGCTGTTCTGACCATCTACAGTCAATAAGGATGGAGGGTCTTTTCTCAGATACCCTGTCCTTATTTATTGCTGTCCCACAAAGAAGCAAATTGGGCCTCATTCTTTTCAATCCTAATATTAATAACACATCCCTACATCAGGGGACTCTCATGAGAACTGATAGAAACTGAAAGGCTCTCTTAGATGTTCTTATTAGGTGTAACTAAATTGTACTGTCTTGTGCTTATCTGTTAACAGGTTGATGTTGGGTCATGCTGTCCTCTAAGTCATACGACTTTCCCACTACGACAAGACTTGTGGCATTACAAATTTCAAATGAGCTTTCTTCAAATGAGTGTTCTGACAATCTGAAGTTAGATGGATTCCTCTGCTTGGAACTGTCTCATCCCTTGGATGATCTGTTTCACATTTCTTTTGTAATAAAGTGTTAACAATCAACAAACTAAGCCTTCCAGTCCCAGTAATATTTTACCACAGCAGTCTGCAAGGAGCTGTTAGTATAGAAAGGGTTTTGCACACAGACAATCAACAAATTGATGAGAATCCTAATCTATGACAAACACACACAAAAATCTTCCTACTTTATTTAATAAAGCTCAAATGTTAAAATAGAGAAAAGGAACCTTGAGCTTCTTATCTTAAGCTGCTATATTCACACCCATTTGCTCACAACAGACTCATGTTCAGGCTGCTGTTTACTATACCGTATTATATTACATTATTATTTACTGTATAGCTTAAATCCTTGTAGTCCCTCATTTATTGTTGGGGATCCGTACCCTGAAAACTCGCGATAAGTGAAAAACCACGTAGTAGGAATAGTAGTACAAGAAGTGACAAACCGGATTCCAAAAAAGTTGGGACACTAAACAAATTGTGAATAAAAACTGAATGCAATGATGTGGAGATGGCAAATGTCAATATTTTATTCGTAATATAACATAGATGACAGATCAAAAGTTTATTCTGGGTAAATGTAACATTTTAAAGGAAAAATTTGTTGATTCAAAATTTCACAGTGTCAACAAATCCCAAAAAAGTTGGGACAAGTAGCAATAAGTGGCTGGAAAAAGGAAATTGAGCAAATAACGAACAGCTGGAAGACCAATTAACACTAATTAGGTCAATTGACAACATGATTGGGTATAAAAAGAGCTTCTCAAAGTGCCAGTGTCTCTCAGAAGCCAAGATGGTAAGAGGATCACCAATTCCACCATTGTTGCGCAGAAAGATAGTGCAGCAATACCAGGATGGTGTTACCCAGCGTAAAATAGCAGACTTTTAAGTTATCATCATCAACCGTGCATAACATCATCAAAAGATTCAGAGAATCTGGAACAATCGCTGTGCGTAAGGGTCAAGGTCGTAAAACTCTACTGGATGCTCGTGATCTCCGGGCCCTTAAACGTCACTGCACCTCAAACAGGAATGCCACTGTCAAGGAAATAACAGAATGGGCTCAGGAATACTTCCAGAAAGCATTGTCAGTGAACACAATCCACCGTGCCATCCGCCGTTGCCAGCTGAAATTCTACAGTGCAAAGAGGAAGCCATTTCTAAGCAAGCTCCACAAGCTCAGATGTTTGCACTGGGCCAGGGGTCATTTAAAATGGAGTGTGGCAAAATGGAAGACTGTTCTGTGGTCAGATGAGTCACGATTTGAAGTTCTTTATTGAACACTGGGACGCCATGTCATCCGGACCAGAGAGGACAAGGAGAGCCCAAGTTGTTATCAACGCTCCGTTCAGAAGCCTGCATCACTGATGGTATGGGGCTGCATGAGCGCTTGTGGCATGGGCAGCATGCATGTCTGGAAAGGCACCATTAACGCAGAGAACTATGTTCAGGTTCTAGAACAACATATGCTCCCATCTAGACGTCATCTCTTTCAGGGAAGACCCTGCATTTTTCAACACGATAATGCCAGACCACATTCTGCAGCAATCACAACATCATGGCTACGTAGGAGAAGGATCCGGGTACTGAAATGGCCAGCCTGCAGTCCAGATCTTTCACCTATAGAGAACATTTGGTGCATCATAAAGAGGAAGGTGCGACAAAGAAGGCCCAAGACGATTGAACAGTTAGAGGCCTGTATTAGACATGAATGGGAGAGCATTCCTATTTCTAAACTTGAGAAACTGGTCTCCTCTGTCCCCAGACGTCTGTTGAGTGTTGTAAGAAGAAGGGGGGATGCCACACAGTGGTAAAAATGGACTTGTCCCA